AAAAAAAGATCTGGCAGGGTTTATTTAAAACGGATTCAGAGGAAGGGAAGGAAGAACTGGGATTGGTGCTGGGTGACCTTTTTATAAGAATAAATTCACACTTTATAAGTGCATTTCATTTTTTTTAATTAGTGTATTTTAAAAATCAACTTAAAGGGGAGGGAAAAAAACCCAAAAAATGTTGCTTATAATTGGGAACTTGGCCAATATACTCTAGTTGGAGAAATAAAACACTCGTTTTCTTTTGCTTATTTATTTTAAGAGTAATGGATAAGTTTATTATCTTAACATGGCTTCATAGGTATGTACATGTAAGACATCAAATTATGCTCTCTACATACATGCCACTTGTTATTCTTGAATGACGTTGAAAAACATTTTAAAAGACATACCATCATATATATAAGCAATAAACTCAGAAGTAGAAATATGAAATAGAAAATAAGCTAAGAGCTGTGTAGTGAAAGCAAATCAGATGCATGCACGTGCACGCACGCCCACGCGCACATACAATCTCTAAAAGAAGAGTCTTGAACCAGAACTACTTACCCACCCACTACTTGGAGAAGCCTCTGTGCTCCCCTCCTCCTTCCCTGTGCCTGTCTCCATGCCCACCCTTCCTCAATGGCTGAGGAGACAAAAGGGACCATCTCAGAAAATGAGAATTCATTCATTAAATAAATATTCATTGGTAAAGAAATAATTGCAAATTACAATGTGGAAATAAATATGGAAGAAATCATATAAAAGTCTTATAAGGAGTAAGGCAATATTCAAATCCTGTAAGAAAAGTTAAATTAAAGCAACTAGTGGGAGATCATAAGAAGCTAAAGAAAGGCTTCAAGAAGGAGGTAATACCCAGAAAAAACCTTAAAAGATGGGAATAATTTAAATACATGGGAGGTGGAGGAAGGAATTTCAATCAGAAGAGTAAGTGTAAGCATAGAAATGTAGATGGGGACATTCAAGAAATGAATGCAACAAAATGGTCTGAGTTTGTTTGTTAAATTTAATCCATTCCCCACTGACGTCATCACACTGGGCTGACTCATAATAACCTCATAGGAGAGAGTCGAACTGTCCCACCAGTGTTTCAAGGCTATAAATCTTCATGGGAGCAGACTGCCACATCTTTCTCTCACAGAGCAGCAAGTAGGTTCACATAGTGACCTTTCAGTTAGCAACTGGGTGCTTAACTACTGTGCCACATGGGCTGTTTTGTTAAATCTAAGTATACCAGGATACAAAATAAGCAAGGTAGATCCAGATCAGATGCAATGTTAAGGAGTTTAGACTTTCCATAAAAATAAAGGGACTTTGATTCAGATTTCAGAGCTGAAAGCAATAAATTAGATGGGCTTTAGAAAAATTTGTATGTTAGCAATATATAGAATGAATTGGGGATGGGATAGACTAGAATAAGGAAGGTGAACAAAAGGTAATACAACAAAGCATGCAAGAAGTAATATTGAAGCCTTGTTCATTGCTAGTTAAAATTTTCCTATAGAGTTATCCTATAACCCAGTAATCTGATTCCTAGGTATGTACACCAAAGAAATGAAAACAAGTATCTCAACAAATACATGTATATGCCGCTCATAGCAGCACAATTCACAATAGCCAACAGATGAAATCAGCCCAACAGTCCACTGCAGATGACTAAATAAGTTGTGGTAAAGCTATACAACATTTTTGAACCATAAACAGGAATGAAGTACCAACACAAGCTCCATGTGAAGCAATCTCAAAATATTATGCTAAGTGAAAAGGTACTGCGGTAGTTACATAATTTCATGTCAACTTGATAAAGAAAGTGCAGGGGGTAGTCTGGCCTGTCAATCAGGTCAAAGCCAGATGGTGCCTCCTTGCAGGCATGGCCCTCCCCTAAGGGTCCTTTGCCTTCACCTTCCTGCTCATGAGCCAGGTGGAGACTTGCAAGAGCCCTCTGATACTTCCACTGCCATTGGAACCACAAGACATTGCTACATTCTGCATCATTGCATGTGGCTTCATGAGGCTCAAGAGGGGCTTATGGACCAGTATCTATCTTATGGACTTGATCTGGATTGGGCTGGGATGTTTGCTTGATATAAAGCTCTTCATACACATACAAGTGGGTACCCTCCAACCCAAACCAGGAAAATGCTGGGCAGAGCTTTCATAGTATGCATCCCATGGCCCCTGCCCCACTAGGCGATAATTGAGCAACTCTAAGTTAATATATCTAAAAACAGCACTTACCTGGCTTTGCTCCATGCGACTTCTTTTTGTTTCCACAAATGAAAGGACAGCAATTTGACATGGAGAAGAGGTGAATAAAAAAACAAGAGAGGTGCTATCAGCCACCCAAATGGATGAGTTTGAAAAATGTTTCCAAGAATGTAATTGTAGATTTGATAAGTGTATTAAGTGGAATGGAGAGTATTTTTATGGTGATAAGTTTGTTTTGTAAAAAAAATTAAATACATAGTTCTGAAAAAAAAATTCCGGTATTTTAGGGTACCTCCTCGTATATGTGTCTCTGGATTTGTTTCTCTAGTCAACACAGGAACAGAAGGTCACAAATTAAATGATTCCATTTATATTAAGCATCTAGAATAGGAGCAGGGTGTGTG